CTGATGAAAGGGACTACCTATCGTCCCAACATCACTTTTCCCCAAACTTTATTGACATACATTTAATGTTCGACATGACGTACTTACTTTTATACACAAATCTGATATAAACATCGATAAAGAAACTTAACACGACTTTGCGATTAACTCAAGTATTTCACCAAAGCAATGTATTATCTACAGATGCATAGATAAACGGAAAAAAATCCTTTTTCAAATTCTACAATTACGAAATTGGATTTAAATTATGTCTTAGATAAGACTAACCAAGACACTGACAAAGGAAAGATCAACCCTAATGACTAACACCCCTTAGTGTCGTATCATCACAGATATTGGATTAGACGAAAATTTAATTATAGTCGGGTTAAAGCATAACGCATCTCAAGATGCGCTCAACAGACATTGACTTCGCATAAAAGCTATGAACTGATAATTAAGGCTCAGATTATATGCACGAAAAATATGCGCATTTTCACAAAAATATGCACAAGATATTAAGAAATATGCTTCAATATATGCCAAATTTGCAAAACTTTTAACAATAAAAAATTAAAGTTGGGGTAAATTTTTATTCTCGACTTTGTATTTTCGGCATCTTGGACGAAAGAGAATAAATAAATTGGTTTTGCCTCAGCCAAGCCATTTTAATAACCTAGTAGTAATTAACCTTTTCTAAGAAATCTCTACTTTTCAGATCACATCATTTTAAAATATTTTGCTAAAATTCACTTATCCGACTGGAAAGCTTATAGCCATAAAAACTATGGAACCAAACGTTTTTTGCTTAAACTATTTATTTTTTGGAAGAACTAATTAATGAATGATAAAGTACTATAAAAATGTGATGTTTTATCAAAAATAACATTTTTCTAAATCTTCTTTTGTTTTTAAGTTCTACAAAAATATTTTTTTTTAATGACAACCCACTTTTTTCATTAGGGTTATGATCTAAAAATTACAATTAGCTACTTTATATTCATTTTTTTTAGTATTTTTTTTACATATATTGCCATTTTGACAAAAAAAATGCATAACTCAAAAACAAAACAAATTTTTTTCTCAAAATACGATGACATTTATTATTATTTTCTAGAGGCAAATGATTTAAAAAAAACGTTTAGTTCCATACTTTATATTCACCCTGTATAAAACGAATTCAAAAAGGAAACACTCAGTAGGATACTAATTTTTTGAGTCCGGCTTACGAATTACTAGTTGTTTTCTCTTTAACATATTTTGTAATCGGATTTTTTTCTTAAACTGTCTAATTTTTAACTTGAACTGAAATTTTTGATTTGAAGAAAATATGCACAAATATGCAATATTTCCTAAAATATGCAGTTGCCAAAATATGCATTTTTTAATTGGTCTATTTAATCAAAAAACATTAGATATGCATAAAAAAACTTAAAATTTTTTTGATATACCTCTTAATAACGAATATGCATTTTGCATATAATCCGAGTCTTACTGATAATTAAACCAGTTTTGTTTAACAAATTTTTGATTTGTCGCTGTGGGAGTCAATAAAGCGTAAATATGAATACATAAAGTGGAAGGATAATGGCTAAGGGTGAATAAAGGAGAAGCATAAGTTAAATGTGAATAAAATTTCCAGCTGGCATATAGCCAACTACCAGTAAGTAAATTTGATTTTGTACAATGTTTTCACTACGAAATTCTAATTAATATGTATTCTGAATTAATGAGAATTATTTTTGTGATGTATGTATGCGCCTCAAATATTAATATCGAAGGTAATTAAGTGTTCATTGTGAAGGAGGATGGCACAACGGAGCTGATCATAATCCTACTTAACTGCTTTCCCTTCTGTATAAAATAAAAGAACTGAAAAAATGCTTGCCAAGGAAAGAAGAAAACGATTTAAAACGAAATCAAGAACATTTTAAGGGACATGAAAAGCAAGTTTTATGTATGTATCGACCGATGTTGCAAATAATATTGGAGTGTTTAAAAAATCTGGAAAACACTTGGAAAGTAATCAAAGTTGATATTGATTAGAGCAAACGGTATTATATTGTATTATAATGTTAGTTGGTGTGATTAAGGCCGATTATCGGCACGACTTCAAAAGGTTCACTGGCAATTAAAGGCTAAATCTGGAGTAGACGATTCGCTAATCAGTCGCTTATCTTAAATCAGGAGAAATTAACAATAGTCACCACAAATATTTACTTAACGAAGATTAAGAAACGGCTAATAAGAWGTCACAAACAAAAACGTATTTGTTTTTAAGATATTGGGATCTACCTGCCAAGTTAATACATTGTTTCGTAGCACGGTTTAGTTATGTAATTATTTTTAACAAATTCCACTGTTTGCTGCTCTTTATAAACAGTAATCCTTATCARCGCCACTGTATTTAGTTTGGCCTTTGTTTTTTGTGATTTAAATTTATTATAAGATTACTGATCTTTTAAGAAGTGTTACCAGAACTGGAACTATTAATTTTGATGGATGGCTAAGGCCCAGGTAAAATCTTCGAGTCTGAACGTATCTGTGGATAATCCGCTTATTGTGCCGTCGACGGGGAGGCACATTCTTGTTTCAAATCTAAACTGAACCTTGCATCCAAGCTTAGCCGATATGGCTTCAAATATTCCTTTACCCGCTCCTATAACCCATATTTCATTCTTCAGATGCAACAAAAACTTATCTTACTTTTCCCACTATCCAATTTCGTTTTAAACAACTTTAAAATTAATATACAGCTTTACTAATATTTGTTATACAAATAACTCGAAATCGTGTCAAGATTTAACAAAACTATTACATAAAGGAAAACATATGCCACCAAAATGTTATTTATGCAGTAATTTACTCCCAAAAACTCAAAGCTCCGGTTCTCATTTCACTTTTGAATTGTCATTCCCTAAACAGTAGCAGTTAACTCTTGTTTATTAATCTTAAGACTTGGATTTATGAGATTATATTCACACAAAAAGGAAAGGATTTAAAATGTCTTTTTGTAAATGTCAAGGAATCAGGTTGTCTTAAAGAAGTCACTGATCTTTAAAAAGTAAAACACATTTGACAATTCGATTATCCGAACTAGTAGCACAATATGCACTTTAGTAAACATTGTTGAATTTAAGTTTGAATTTTTGAAGTTAAAAAATTTCCTTTCTAAATACATTTTAAAAATGCTTTTTGCATTTAATTTTTTTTTTATACGCTCTTGAATCAGCTGTTGTAGGGACTCATTTGTGTCCCTAAAATGAGTCGTTTCCGGACTCAATAAAGTAGTACGCAAAACGGTTATTTTAGGTACTCAGTCCCCAAAAATAGTTTTTGCGGACTAAAAAATAAAATTGGTTACTACGGTAATATTTTTTTTAATTAGTAAGAGGTGCGAATTCGTGTTCGTGCACCACGTACGCAAAAAGTTTTAGGTGACATTAATGACTCGGGTCCTAAAACCCTATTTTGTGTACTTGATACATAAATAGCTATTAATTACTTGATGAGGACAAAAATTCCCAAATTTTTAATCTTTAGGAACATTACATTATTTCGTTTTTCAGTTGATGATAGAAGTTAGAACTCACAAATATTGTACAAATGATTTAAGATATTGAAAATTTTTTGCAGTAAAATCTTTGTAAATTGATTTCGTTACTATTTTTATTCAATTTTTGCTGTCAAACATCAGAGCACACATTATTGTTGTTTGCAACTTTTGTTTTCGATTTCGAACTTACCATTCAATTTGTATTTAAAAACTAAAAACGGTGGTCAAATTCTATCGGATTCAAGAAATAATGAAGACTTCGCGGCATAGCCGCTCGCCCCACTATTATTTGGTATTGGTATTATTTTGGAAACCGAACATCCAATATAATTTTGCAGCTGCCCTTCCGTACTTTGTAGATTTAAAAGTCTTAGTACTTTAGTATGCAAGCAATTTTTGGTAAATTAAATTTTAACCCTTTGGGTAAATAGGCACTATTCCTAGGTCAGACTGTGTAATTAACTCATATTTTAGGTGTTTTAGGAGGTTTTAAGGGGTTGCGATAAAATTTGACTTACATACGTGGTTCATTAAAATTGAAATTATATTTGTTTTTAAAATGAAATATAAAAGAGAGGTTAAGGTTTTAGGTCAGCATTTGCTTGTCGCAATATTTTTCTTGTGAGTGGCTTTATTGGAAAAGATTGTTTGTGGTTTGGGGATTTGCAGGAGTGATTTTGGAAATATACATACGAGTGGTTATCAATTTTTCAATATTCAGTCCATGTTCGTGGCATATGTAAATTGTGATTAGATAAAATTGGCACGATTGTATCTATACAAGAGTGAAGTTATAAAATTATCATAGAAAAACCATAACGTTCGAAAAAGACGTAGTCGCGTCGTTGCAGAATGTTCCGACGCATGTGGGACCCGTCGTGTGCATCACATTTCAGCCGTTTATTTTATTTTATGCGAAAATCTGTAGGGATGAATAATTTGCTTGAACCCTTTGTTGCGGGTGGGACATACCTCTGTTCAGATCCGCCTATTCCGACGCTGGAACTCCGCCTACAGATCTATTCATTTGAGCGTCTCGACGCTCCTCTGTCCTCTTAAGCGCAGGCGCTTGACTAGTTAAAACTTTTCAAGAAACCGCCGTTAATTGTCGGAAAAAGCGAAGAAAACGCGTCCAAGTCGATAACGCGCCACGGGCCGGCCAAAGTCCGAATTTCGGTTTCGGACTCGCGTCCATATTCGATCCGATGAGTGAGTGAGTGATTGTCGAATATCGAAGATTGAGACGTACTGATCTGGTTGGCTAGTGGGCCGGCCATATTCATTAAGAAAAAGTGTGCAGTTGATCGTTTTTTAAAAGCATAAAGCGTGTTTGCGCGGTGAGCGCATGCAAGGGGTGGCGCGATCTACCCCGATCTTGGGAGTTTGCACCGCCGCCGAGTCGCAACTCGCAACTCGCAACTCCCGACTCGGGAGCAACTTCAGTCAGTCGTTGCCGGACGTTCACGTCGTGTGGTTGCCGTGTCGCTGCCGGCTCTGAGCGCTCAGTCACGTTGCCGGTTCACGTTGCCGTCATGTTGCTCTAATTTCGGTATACGGTTTACCGAAAATTCGAACCTATGACGATGGACTTTCAGAGTGCTATGGAGACTTTCGCTGAAGCCTGGGTCGCCGCCAACACCAAGGGTGCTCCGCTCTCAGACGTTGCCACTCAGGTACAATTACCCGCCCCACCCGCGATCATTCTTAATTATTAATTAGCGGTAATCACGACGGAGCTAAATACGCCTTTACAGCTACTTAATTAGGAAATTCTTTACACGCACATGAAACGAAAATTATTTATTAACGTCGTTAAGCCCCACTCGAATTGGACACAATTGCCATTGAAATATTCGCAAAACTTGATAATCTACCCGTAGTACCCGTCCACTGCTGAATAATCATTAAAGCATCGGCCCGATTCGATCTGTTTCCCGGAATATCCTGTCAATCCCGGATTTCACAAATCCGGGATTAGCCGCGATGGATAAAAGTACGGATCGGGAATCGATGAAATTGATGGCTCTCCTCATTCAAATTCATTCACATTTTTATTTTCAAATATCCCAACGAATAATTCACATTTTCTACTATTTTATTTATTTATTAAATCGATCCATAAAAAAATTACTCAAGTTCAATAAGTATCGCTAATTGTTTTTACTTTGATTTTAATTAGGTGGTAATTGCAAACAACTTATAGTAAGCATAATTAAGACGTCATTGCCAGTTATTTATACATTACATTGTATGACCTGCATATTGTATAATTTGTGAAGATATTATTGCTCATTTATTTTTAATTACCGCAACATTAACGCACACCTTATTTTTGTCAAAGCCGATTTTCAATAACAAATATGCAAAATTTCGATGAGATTTTAATTGCTCGGTGGAGATACGTAACAAGGTTTTTTGTAATGATTATACACGTTATTATCAGTTTGTTTTTAAATGTTTTATTAGATTGTAAATCAAAAGCTCGTAGGGATATTTATCACGAGATAATATGTACCAACAAAATTTGATATTAGAAGAAATTTGCTTGTTTGACATTGAGTTTTTACAAGGGATTAATAAAACTGTGATTTATATTAGAATTCTTTCAGGCGCCGACTTAAAAAACGTTTTGTTTTGCTGTTATAATAGAGAATTCCCATTGTGAATTTTACCTGAATCAGGTACCTGAGAGAGACCCCAACCCATAAGGTTGTCATTAAATAAAGCATTAACTTTATGACTAATAGGTTTATACTAATCGTTTTCCTTTCCTAATCTTGTAAACTTGTAGAGTATTGGACTAATAAGTCGCCGTCTCCTACAATTTAAAAGTACTTTACGACCAGTTTCCAAAGAAAATTTGCTCTTATCTCTCACAATTGCTGCTTGTAAATTTTACAATAGTAAACTTTTCCGGTTTTATTACATCCCTTCCGTTTTAAGGGACGATAAGTTTCCTCCTAGAGCACCTTAATCCGGGTTGACCAGTAACAGGGATTACAGCTCACCTTGAAACTTTAAAGCTTCAATCGGGGCCGCTTTTGATTTTAAAACTGCCTTTTGACTCAAAACAAAATAGTAACCGTAGCCGCCTTTAAACAACTATTTATTCGATAAATAAATCCTTTCTCTGTTTGTCATCCAATATACCGAACCGTGATTTGGTAAATATTAACTGAGAGATAAAAATTATTTTTAAGGGCCTAATCGCTTGCACGATATTGATTAGCATGGTAATAAACGTACAATGGGAATTTAATAAGCTTTTAACCGATTTATAGTCAATAATTATTAAAACAAAACAACAGTATTAGTCCGGAAACCTACCCAAACACGACTAAGACGAATTCGTTTGCAGCTGCTCATATTAATAACTAAATCCAGTTGTGATAAGATAATGAAATAAAATATCTTTGGTGCCGAGTTGCACACGAATTCGTCATAAATAAATAATACATTTGTTCCCCGCAAGTAAACCGTTTTATTAGTATCATGAAAGCGAGGGTGGTTTGAATAGGGTGCTACAGGTGGGAAACACAGGTAAAAACATTATGTCCTTCCGGGCGTTACACATGAAAGGTTGCACCGGTCCTTCTGTACCGGTCATTCCACAAAATTATATTTTAAAACAGGACTACCGTATCAATTGCCTTTTATTTATTTCCCTTTAAACTGGTTATACGTAGTTAATTATTTGGTACGTAGACCGCATTAATTACCACTGATACATGGAGTTGTTGACAATAAAACACAATGTCAGGTGTTAGTCTGACGTTCCGGCATCTTTACACTTGCTTTGCCGACTTTTTGCTCAAGCTGTCATCTTCCAACTGATAACACTCTTGGGTCAGTTTTCGGAAGATGTTTTGAAAAGCAACCAAATCTATTTCACTTTTTATATAAACATAATTATCGCTTTTTGAACAACCCGACACAATTTCATTCATTCATCCTAAACACATTTTCTAATTATAATCAGCCTGAATTCATCATATTTAAGGATAATGTTTAATGGAACCACAAAATCATTACCCAACTGTCAATATTACCAAATTGCATTATTTCAAAACCATAGGATTAGAATTATTTGTGCCACGGTTACTATATTTTAGAATAATCTGGAATCTCATTAATAAAATTCCCAATTTTCGTTCAAATTACTTTTAAACAAAATGACATTTCCACTGTTTAATGAATTTATTTTTAGCATAAGATAAAATTAATAATTATTTTTATAATATTATTCAAAAAAATATGTAAGAATAATAACTTGTAAAATGATATAAAAAGACATAATAATAAAAAAACACATTAGAAGTATTGGAAGTTCTGATAATGATATTTGTCTAAAAATTTGTATTTCCAGTTAATCGGAAGTGGGTTAAATTAAATAGAAAGCTGTGTTTTTTATTGAGTTTTTGGATTTTCCGAGTTATTCTGTGTATCAAAGTCCAGCCATTTTTTGAACTTTAAGAAAATTTCTGAATTTGAGCCTTCCTCTATCTAACTCTGCAATTTTGAACTATTATGAAATCGTGTTTTGGCATTTAAAAGAGAAATGATCGATCTTTCTTTTGATGGATTCATAATTAAAAAAAATTATTAACGAACACTCAAAATTTAACGTTACGTTTGAGGAAAGACATAATAATTCTTTAGTCATCAGAAACTAATTTTAACAGCTAATATAAAAAAAGAACCCACGGAACTCTGCTCAGTACACCACTGCTCTGTCTGATAATTACTGACTAAGCTTGTCTTAAAAAAAATCAAAAATAAGAATGAAATAGTGTTTGAATTTTTTTTGGGTAGTCTTATTATTAAACTAAGTTTTGAATAAAAATCAAATTAACAAAAGGTAAATAATAGTTATTAATGAAAAAATTAACGCAATGCCAAATTAAACAAAAATCTGTTATTTCCTGATAAAAATAAGTTGATTGCGAACCAATAACTTCAGAAATGGAGTTTATTTTTTTACAATTGCATTGTTCCACGTGACTGAAGTGAACTGACAGTTGTAATTATTTCGTCTCCCCTACATATTTTAACGTCAGTCGGCCAGGGTCTTCAACACCATGAAATGGGGATGAATAAAATGTTCAATTTTTCCTCTTAAAAGTCGTCCCAGATTGTTCAAAACGATGCTCCAAGTAACCAAACTTAATCAATTGATTTTTTTGCATTATACGGAAAGTTTTTTAATAAAACAAATTATCCAACCTTAAAAGCACTTTGTATATTTATTTACTTGTAATGTATTTAAAGAAGTAACAAGTTCAACTAAAGTGAAATACAGTCTATACTGATTCTTCTAATAATTTACAAAATATTTAAATTATGCTTTACTTATTGTCGTATTGTTGGATGTTGAAGCGTCAATACATTTATTTATTCAAAGAGATTTTTCATATCAATTCCATTGCGTCATTTTAAATTACATTAAAATTACCATACATATAAAAATTTTACAATTATAATCATTAACCATTGCCCTGTAATATGAGCAGCAAGGAAACTAACTTTGTGCGTAAATATCGACGATTAAYTTGATATTCTTTTAACWAGTGATTATTTTTTTCCTGTCACATTATATTAAGTTGCATATGGCGGTAGCTCATTTAAGGGAGTATTTATTAAAGTGTGATGAATGAATGGATGGTGGTTTGATGGTCAGTGGAGGTAGGGAAGAGTGCAGGGTGCACCATAATGGGATCGAAACATTGAGAGAGTACCATCACCATCGGCAATATATAACCCTGTGCAGTTTCGGCAGCGGCGATGGCGATACTCCGCCAGGTCGATGCTCCTATTCTGGCCCTGCATACTTACACAACTGCTGGCACTTTTTGCGCACTGTTTCGTAGAAGTTAAGCTATAGCCGTCCTGTCACTCACTCTTGTACCAAAAATGAACCAGATTCCTTACGTCTGCAATCTGATTTTTCGCGGCTACCCGATACGATTCTCACGCTCGCAGCCCTCACTCAACTTATCAACTCCCAAAACCGAATCGATTTACGGACAATTACCTTGACACTTTTTAACATTCCTCATACCTTCACAGACGGATTATTTCTATGATATTGTTTCATTTTTCTTTAGCGGAGTAACGTTATATCGACAAAAAAATTCTTTCAATTTGCAGTTTGCAGAAAAGGTCAATATCCAGACACTTCGCGTAGTCCTGACCCAAATCCAGTGAAGCATGTCTGCTTTGATAGAGGGAAAATGTACGATGATGCTTTGCTCTATTCCTTCTGACCTTGGCAAGGATATGCCGATAATCAGTGTGGTGTCGCGGTTTTTTTTCATGAACGTGTGAGGTAGAGTTGTTTTGTATCATCTCTGACTGGGTTGGTTATTTGTGAGAGTCGTGTTCATGACTACTAAATTCGGGGGACACTAGTGGACATTTTCTGATCTTACTTTGATTTTTATGGTAGGGAGAATATATATAAGAAGACGAGGTTTTTGTTTTTAAATTAGCATGGATTATAAGTTCCGGGGAGATTTATTTGTGCAAGTAATGATGAAGCGGTGGAAGTTCATGAGCTTATTTAATTCTGAAGACTGAGACTGGGGCTTAAAAAACGGCACACAAATGCTTGTTATATGCGGATTAAGGGAATTATGAGTCATGCAGATTTAGTTAGATCTTCTTATATCTGAGCCGGCTGTTTTGTAGAGAAAGTGCATTAGGTAGGGGAGAAGAATACACAGCGAGCGATAGGGTTATCGAGGGCCCCTCGTTTCAGTACAGTGGTGGCTTGTCGAACGTCTGACAAATATAACGTTCAGGAATTCAATGCTTTTTGACCCCACTTAACCCAGATTAAACTCGGTCGCAATAGTCTAGTCAACCGTCCAGATTTGTTCATGGAAGAGTTAATCGTTTGATTTATTTGTTCTAGAGCCAGGCGTTAGCGTTGACGAGGACATGCAAAACACCATCTCCTCCGACCACGACGCCGGCCGCCACCGGCCGTTCGAGTCGAGAGTCGGCCGAACGCGCTGCTACTCCCCCGCCGCCGCGGACACCCCCGTTGGAGAGCACCGTGTCTCCTCCGTCCGTGAAAGAGGAGTTCGACGCGGCGAAAACCTCCACAGGTAAGAGTTAACTCTATCGGCCGCGGCCCAGTGAGGTTACCGGTGAGGTTACCGGCCGCCGGCCGCCGCCCCTCGCTCTCGCCCTCGCTCGTCGGTCGGATTGAAGCGGATTGTGCGGCGTTAAGCAGATTATCTGCTCATGATTGATGAAACGGCTGCAGCCCGGTACACCCCAACCCAAAAACATTCAGCGGTCGGATCAGGTATGCAGTCTGCCCATATGCCATATACAGACACATCGACGGGATAGTAGCGAGCCGACTAGCAATGGTAGGCCAGTTAAAGCTGGATTAAGCTGAAGGTAGGGAATTAGAGGAAGCTGGGATTAGAGGGACTCTGGCCTCCTCCTGCCTCGAGACGGGAAGTAGGGGATTAAGCCCGCGCAGGATTAACATTCACGAGGGATCAAATATAAAAGAAAAATTGAAAACATAACACTCAAATTTATTACTAATGCCTTTACATCTACCTACAAAAAACACAACTACACATACCCACTTTATAAAAATTCAATTGAGCGGAAATCTTAGTAAATCACACTGTATAAAAATATTTTTTACTTAGCTAAAAATTCGGTATATAATTGAGTCCGACTCTAATTTTAATCGCTTATTACATAGAAAATAATCATGGCAAAATATTTATTTATATCGATGAGCCCGGGAATCAATAAAGTTCAGTAAGTTCTCCCCACTTTACACCAACAGGTGGTTATCCTCACGTGAATGAATTTTTGCCCACATGACGTGTGGCACATTTTGGCACATTCAAGACCTTAGACGATTTAAATATTATATTGACACAGAATTAGTTTTATATCAAATGACAAAATATCAATATTGGCAATTGTAAATTAACAGTAGTCCGTGTTGTTCACCGTTGTGGAATTCACAAAGGCGATTTTCCCGAAGGGCGGCATTTTTAAGCCGTTTTCAAAAAAATATACCTGTCCCCGGAATGAATTTACAAATTTTTTTTATCTATGACTACGCCAAAACTGCAAAGGAAAAACATTTTTTACTTCACCTAAAACTAGCAAATCTGTAATGTAATTAAAACTTCATTATTCTGACTCAATAGAAAGAACAGTTCGATTTTGGACTTGTAATAATTTTTCTCTTCGTTTATATCCCATCACATTGACGGTTTTACTTTTTTGACAATGATGTCACTTTGACAAAAGTTAAATAACAAAAATGTTTGTGAAAAACATAATTTTAATAAACAGCAACTCAAAAAAAACACAAAGTTATTTTTAATAACAACCATCATTATTCAGTTAATTAATTAATTGTCAAAGTGACAATAAAACCGCCAATGTGATGAGATTCAAACAGCAGAGAAAAATTAAGTCCAAAATTAGGAGAAAAATTAACTTTTCTTCCTACTTAATTAAAATGATAAAGTTTTAATTACAGATTTGCTCGTTTCAGATAAAACAAAAAATGTTTTTCATTTGCAGTTTTGACATAAACCAAAATCTTTTTTTTTTCTTCTTGTAAACTTAATCGGGACATACTGTATATTTTTTTAGTTACGTATTAAACATTTTACATTATTTTCTGCTAGGGGTCAGAAAGGTGAATAGCAACTACGGAACCAAGCGGTTTTTTCGTAATTTTTTTTTATTTAATTAGAATTTATTTTTAGATCATAGTCTTTAATTAAAAAAATGTGTAACAGTAGGTTGCCATTATATTTTTTTTTTTTGGAAAACTCGAAAACAAAGGATTTTCAAAAAATTTTATTTTTGATAAACGGTCCATTTTAATTGTACTTTACGATACATTAATTTTTTTTTTCGTAAAGTGGTTAATAGAAATTAGTGTGGAACTCCTCTATAACGAAAAATCGTCTATAACGAGTAAATTGTCTGGTTCCTTGCCGTTTTGTATACTACTTTATGTAAAATTCTCCCTCTACAGCGAGTATTTTTCTGGAATCGAGGTGTATATAGCAAAACTTTTATTTTGTCTAAGATCGGWAAAAYCGAAAAATTTTGAGAAAAACAGATCGGTTATAACYAGAGTTCCTAGAAGAAATAAAAATCCTGCCAGTCTCTYTTACGAATTGAGTACTAGAATTTCTTTGGAAATGTTGTTTTTGCGTGTTAATGGTCTTATTTTTCTCACTTTCTCAGTCTTGAACTTTTCAAGCAGAGAACACTTCGTCTTTCTGTATCAATATGTCGTCCTGTCCTCGAAAAGAAAATCATTTTCTATCAAAGAAAAAATATCAATAATAAAAGAGTTCGAAAGTGGTAAAAAACAAGCTGTAATCTGATAAGAGAAAAATTTACAGAGTTCTACATTGGCAACAATTTTAAAAAACAAGAACAAATAGTACAATATAGATAGATAAAAATGCTTAATTCGACAAATAAAAATTACAGATTTTTTTTCTTAAATATTGTTTTAAACTTCTTCAATATTCGCATTTATAACGATATAACGAATAAATACGTTGGCTCCTTGAGTTGTCGTTATAGAAGGGTTCTACTGTATTAAGTTTAGGGGCGGCAGTTTCAAATTTTCACCTTAGCACGGACCTGGGTAAACCATTCAATGTACTATTGTTTTTCTTGCTATTTTGTAAAGAATATAGTGTTTTTTCCAAGGAGATATCGTATTAATTTATTTGTTACCGTTAAAGGAGTCTAATAATTGTAAGAAAAGATTGCTATTGTTGCGATATTGTTGTTCTTGGAAAGGAGCAATGCCGTGATCGTGAAAGAAGTGTATCGTTGGTTTTTGGATTTTAAGAAGTCTGTATAAGAAACAGTCAATGTTTTTGCTAAATATTTTTTAAAAAGCGTGGAAGCATGTGGGACAGATTCCGAAAGTAGTGCATTTCTGTAGAATGACGATAACACGCACCAATGGCTAAACTTAATCCGTAGTTGAATTAATCCGTATATTATTGGGATTAGACGGGCGAACTGAACAGGTTTATAGTTGTATTCATAGTGGGCAAGTCTGGCGTGCAGCCTCAACATATCGGCGGATTAGCGGTCCGTCTGATCCAGGCTTAGGTGTCGCCAAGGTGATCTCCATCGTCCTTTGGAGTCTAAATCTGCCAGTTGGCATTCAATACATCGAAACGAAATAATTAATCCTTGGTGTTGCAACAATCACATGAASGGGGGTGCGGAGTGCACGTGTCCGAGTTTGGGGATTATCGGCTAGGCGAGGATTAATCCTTACGAAAGCGATCGCCAGACTGGGGACCGAAAGGAGACAGATGAGTGATTCGAGGAGATAAGCACGCAGTCGGATTAGGACCGTGCATGTGCAGTATGCAATCCGTGAACGTTCCATTCGCTCCACTCAAACTAAAACCAGGATGGATATTCAACTCGAACACCGACTGGATTGAAGGGGATCAACAGCGGAAGCAGATAAACGTCCGGCGGGGAGCGCGGGCGGATTACCGACACTGTGATAGCGCACATCCGCTTTCGAAATGATATATTCATTATAAGAATATTTTGATAGGTTTCCCACCATATTTTCTAAGTAACCAATAAACGATCAAAGAAGTAATTAATTAACGACGAGCCTCGTTTTATTTTTGCTCCATTGCTAACCTGATTATTAATTTCTATGGCTTTTACCAAAAATCCGATTAACATCACTAATTTTCTTTTGTTTCTCATCATTTTTCAATGGCTTTCTTAAAATTAAATGCCGGTATGTAAGAAACTCAAAAGCCAACCACAAATCTTTTATCCTAAAAGATCACGTTTCAAACGTCAGACCTCTCCAATAAGCCAAACAATACGGAATTTTAAATTAAACTAATCACAAAACAAATGTTACAAAATTATTTTTTTTATTTTTTATCTTGCTTTTAACACTAACCCTCTATACCTTTTTATTCTTTATTCTTGTCTTTCATATTATACGCAACCTGTCATTTATGTAACAGCTGCAATAGGCGGAGAAGTTGCGTTGTCATTATTAATAAAACACACTCCTAACAGCTATACAGGGACCAAAAAAAATATTTAAAGAAAAAATCTGGTGTGAAGATCAGACGACTTTCATTATCCTACTTATTTGGAAAAAAATTGCGTTAGTGAGGTGCAGTTTTTTTTAGTTCGGTACCCATTATTATCATTGTTTTATCACATTTTACTGTTTAATAAGGTATATTTCATGATTCTAAATAATTTGTATCCCCATGAATTTATTGTATTTTTTTGCGGCCGAACGGTGCGCCCGATTTTTACCAATTGTTTCGTACTGCGTCCCCTTCTTACAAGTAACTCACATACCAAATTTCAATTTCTAGCTCGAGATATGCTGCACCACCCCAATTATGGTAGGTTCTTATTTCAAACTAAATATTTGTGTGCGGTATATTTATTAATTTATTATGGCAAGAGCTCATTAAAATAAGATCAGTCATTTTAAATTTGAATTGAATTGAATTTTAAATTTGATTATAATTTGATATAAAAAAACGCGATAAACGCGTTTTTCGTAGAAGCTAAGTGTTTAGTTTGAAGGAATCATCATAACAAATAAAAATATCATTTCTATAATTTCAATGATTTTAGATAAGGTCTTATACGCATGTAAGAAGAATTCCGCGCGGGTTTATACAAAGTGATTCAAAAATTCGTGTCACAATTTTAATCACGAATACTCCTCTACAAATGAGCATAGATAGCACAGTATTTATTAATTCAACTTATCAAGAAGTAAAAAAATTACAGCTTTTATAATCATCAAGAAATAAACAAATATGTTCCTTTGGATCTAATGAAATTGACATTAAATATGAGAGCAATGACAGCGATGGTACGCTCAAAATTTATGAATTCTGATTTTGCAGCGCAGTGTAGAGTTTAGTTTAAACTCAAATAATAATCGGATAAACTGTAACAAAAATATTTCCAGGATTACCGATTTTTGAAAGTTGTAATTTGTCTATTTTTTGAGGTGGGTTAATAAATACTGTACTATCTATTCTCATTGTAGTGAATAAAATTATGCCACACAATTTTACATAATTTAATTTAATTTTTTTTTAACTTATAGTAGGCATAAATAATGGAAAAATCTAAATATAAATGTAAATTTGGTGCACAGAAACGAAAAGAAAACTTGACGTTATAATCTCAATAGAGGAAACAAACTCCTTCAAAAAAAATTACTACATTAAGTGACAAGTACCTAGTTTTAATACATATTTTTATTTCATTCATTTCAACTTGGCACCCCATATAAAAATTTGCCAGTCCGCCCCTGCTGAATTTGATTTGATTCCGGACATAATTTTTGTGGAAAGTTGTTATCAATTTTTGTTACGTTATTTTTGCGGTTGTGTTGACTGATGAGACGTCGTGTATATCTATGAGTTTAACTTCGGTTTATTTGCGATTATGGTTTGGCCAAATTTTTGCACCTGTATCGCGACAGGAGGCGGAAATGCAATCAATAAAAGGAGTTGATAATATGTGGCATCAGCTTTGGGAGTAGTAGTTTAGTGTGCCACCTGTTGGTAATTAAAGAGTTGGATGATTTGTCCGTATTGACGTATAAAACAGTGTGTGACTACTTCGAAGATGTTTCGCAATCCAAGTGGCTCCTTTAAATCCGTATCGCAAATCCAGCATGAAATCGTATTAGCGCGCTAGCAGAGCAGGGCAGAGGACTTATTGTAAACAGTATTGCGGGTTCGAAGACCCTTCGCACTCTCTAAACTGAAGTTTACAGCCCTTTCGCGCCTCCTCCCACTGTCGACTCTTTACAAGTTGCGCGAATTAAAACTTTAGACTAACAAGACTTAAGCTAATAAGAAAATGGATAGAAATAAGCTGTTGTGTAAGACGCTTTGGCTTCGAGGACGCGCGGATATTCCGGACGTGTCGACGGACGTTGGGAGCACATTAGGTACATAATTCCGGGCTAGCTATGTAAAAAAGTCAACTTGGACAAAGAGACTACAGCGGATTAAAGTAAACAGTAAGAAACATCAATCCGAAACAAGTCCGCTTTGTAAAGGCATTAGGTAGAAGAAGATTTTTCGTAATCTGTAATGAGTGGTCGAGCAAAATCCTGATGCTCGTACTCGTGCTCGAAAGGAATATCACGTAAAAATGTGCTTATCTGAACAATAGACTAGTCGATTCTCTAGTTCACAGCGAGTGAGTGAGTGAATACTTGTTGACATAATCCTGATTGCGGTYGCGGTAACTTGGCTAAACTTCGCGACAAGAGCGCAAGCACCGGTGCTGAAACTATATGTCGCGACGTTTTTCTTGAAAATTTTTAGAAAAGGCTAAAATGCAATTAGACAAGTTGGCTAAATCCAAGAGGAGCGAAGTCACGACGTTCCATAACATAGTTATTAGAGTTGGCCTTATTATTTATAAGGTTGCATTATTGATCAGCCAGACTAGAACAAAGGACCGGAAGGCAATATGAACCCCAGTTAAGACGCTGGTCAGCCCGCCTGGATTAGAGCCGGTGGGATTAGCGACTAGTGGACTATACACAGCGCGGTAAGCCGACAGGATTAGGTCCGGGCCGGATCCTGCAGCCGGATCCCTGAGATTTAGAGCTGAGTCGTTCGGTGTTCGCCGCTCGCCGCATCTGCATCGTAAGACCGGCCGAAACATCGCCTTAATAAAATGAAAATAACACACACCGACTTACAAATTAAGACCTTTCACTGTCCTTTGTGTGGCAGCCGTGTAAGTAAGCTCAAGTCGAGCCAACTAATCCTTAAGACGCGCGGCTAGGTCTAGGTTGCTCCAGTTAAAGCTCTGTAATATGCAGAAACCTTCTTAACCTAACAAGATTAGCATAGACAGGGTAGGGCGGCTAGCAGGCCTAATACCCCCTCGTCTTGGTTTATTACTATCCTACACCAACTGACCCAGTCGATAATCACTCACTCACACAACACACACACACACTGATATAACTTAGTACGTTATCGGGAGGCGAGAGTTAACGCATTTCAAACGCGCACAGGAAAACCGAACAAACTTTGTCATCTTTTAAGGTGAAAAGGAAATGAAGAAATCTTTACTATACCGCTACATTAACTGTCATCTCTACCCCGCTATCAATTGATCTGTCTGTCTTTCTTATCACTGGATACTTTTCCGCTTTACACGTTCCCATTAAATTCGTTATGCTGAACAAGATTCCACCCTTGATCATCTACTCTAATAACTACCTATTTATCTCTTCATCAAGCCACACTGACAGCCACTGGTTCATTTGCCAACTTTGTCAAGATATCAACTTTAACTCTTAATTATTGCATTTCAGCCAAGTCTCTTCCCGTTCATTGCATCGTGGAGGCGATTTGCACCTTGGACGAGAATCGTGCACTACAACACGGGACTTGGAGACGAAGACCTATGGTTGAGACCGATAGCTACGTCATAATTCCAGTTGGAACCCCGTTTCATAGTCTTGTACAAGCAGCCCTTCTTCGATTAGGGTATTCTGCTGACAGTGCAGCCGCCGCTAAAGGTTCCGTGGTTATCAAAAATTGGAAAGCACTTAATTTTGAGCAAATATCCGATGATCCTCTCGTAACTGTTGGTGACATATTAGGAGAATTAACAACGATAGCCACGCTAAGAATTCAAGTGTTTAGAGGAAGACCGGGAGCGTTCACCGATATTAAGGATAAACTTTTGCGTTTCCTGTTACTACAATCACATGGTTTGCTAATATCATCAGGATGTCCACTCGACGAGGTATGTGCATACACACGTGCTTGTTTTGATTATGCGAAAACGGGAATTTTGCTTTGGAAGGAAAGCGGTTATGAGACGCGCGTCTTAAGAATTAAACGGGAATGAATGTATTAAGGGTGCAGAGAATAGCAGTAACCTCGCTTTTAATAAGATTATGTAGCATTATTTCATGGTATTAATGAGATCAAAAGCCTTCTACATCCTACAGCACAGAGTAGATCTAAACCCCACCCCGCCAACAATGTCGTTTCTCTTCTTCAATTGATAAAATACAACAAACACTTACGGTGGGGTGAGCCGTGTTTAGAACCCGGTTCTATTTATTAGGGACGGATTATAGACATGCAATGCTCATTCACTCAGTTTAGTGGCTCTTGATCCTTGTCCACAAAGCGAGATTTTGATTCAAAAATAAGTACAACGCCAGAAAGCGCACGACTAACGACGGCTTATAAATCATAACACTTGCGCCTTTCATTTGAATGTAGCTGAACCTAAGATAAATCCGGGAAAACATGGCTTCGAACGCCTGTTGTTAAGGACCCTAATCTCACCCTAAAAACCCATATGCAAAGATTTGKTCAAATTTACATTTAACTCATAATTATATCACATTTCACTTTTCAGATAATACTTTCGCAAATTTGTCGCACGTCACCAAATTGTGCACCGATACCGGAAATATCGGAAGAAATACGACGAAAATTCGATCAGTGGTGGTCAACACAGTTCAGTCCCCAATCACCAGCAAGCCGAAGTCAATTCGGTGGTACTTTCTCAAATCAATATTCAGTACCTCCTCAAACATCTAAATCCACCGAACGCTCATTATCCGAATCTGGACATCCCGCAATGCAAACAGTTCACAATCAATTCCCTACTCAAAAAACTCGAATGCGTACTAGTTTCGACCCAGAATTAGAACTCCCCAAATTGCAGCGTTGGTTCACCGAAAATCAACACCCAAGTCGGCAACAAATCCAACAGTACGTAAAAGAACTCAACAGTCTTGAGTCGAGAAGAGGACGGAAACCTCTAGACGTTAATAATGTCGTCTACTGGTTTAAAAARGCAAGAGCTGCTCAAAAACGCGCTGAAATCAGAAATGTCACTCCTGGTTTYCCGTGTCATCTTGCGGTAAACGGCTATAGCAACCATAGCCCAACAAATGGTACCGGATTTCTCATTTCTGATGGTTATTTAAACTCAGAACGATTAGCAGATCACAGATTGAAAAATAGTTTGTCGTCGCGACGCGGACCACAAGCTTCGCACACTTCTGATGAATTTTCAAACGCAGGATCTGATTTAGAAGATGAAGATATGAACGAAGTTCAACCTTCTAGTCCTACAGGGCCGTTGTCGCTCACAACAACTCGGAAACACGATTCGAGAGAGAATAGTCCCCGCCCGTCGACACCTCCTCCTCCCCCAAACTTACAAGTAAGTAAATAAATAGTTCGACTAATATTTACAATATTATTATAGTAATTTGTTTCAGGGAGAGTTGTGTAAAGTAGAACCGAAAGAAGAGCCGATTAACTACCACTCGCCCGGCGACCACATAAACAACAATAAAATCAATCTTTCCGATATGGAYGAGGACGATRTAGAAACCGAAAATGACAATAAAAGTCATTTCGAAGGGAGCAATATGAACTCACCGGCAAGTAGACAGATAACTCAGCGTTATTGCAACTCTCCAGATGTTGATACTCCCTTATTGTCGCGTACTCCCAGTGACGGTATTGAAAGATTAGCTGCAGGTTTTCCTCTTGTGCCAAACTCGATGTTCAGCCATAGCATAATGTACATGAGTCATTATATACCGGGGTTATCTCATACCGCGACCTCACCACCGGGTTCCAGTACGTTAGGAATGTCGGGTTTGACCGCCGATGAGCGGCGAAAACGCAATCGTACATTTATAGACCCCGTTACAGAAGTACCAAGATTAGAACAATGGTTTTCACTCAACACTCATCCTTCCCATAATCTGATATTAAAGTATACCGAAGAGTTGAACTGTATGCCTTATCGTCAAAAATTTCCCCGATTAGAGCCAAAGAACGTTCAGTTTTGGTTCAAAAATCGAAGGGCCAAGTGCAAGAGATTAAAAATGTCACTTTTTGATAATCAACCCACGGGACAATATCATCATAACGAGCGTGATTAAAACTTTGTTTTTCAAATTGATATTCTGGTGTGATTTTTTGACCTGTACTTAGACTGGTATCCTTCATTTTGTTATATAGGTAGGTGATCTATAAAATTTTTAACAGGGGTTATGACGAATTGGCATAGACAATAAATATGCTCTCCTTGAGGGTATAAAATAAAAAAAAATATTCGTACCTAATARTCGTTGGTTTCCACTTTTGTTTTTATACAACCAGTATTACGTTGTTAGGATGCATGTGACTATACTAGACCTCAGCGCGAGGTAAATTCCCTTTTAAAAATTTTATTATATATATATATGTTGAATTTGTAATAATAATTGTACCAAAGATTGTTAATTACATTTGTATTGTAAGAAAAATGTTTCGTTTTGTTGATAAATAAAGACATGTACAACATGCCATGTTATAATCATTCTGTATCTTAATAATTGTCGTGTTGTAGCCAGTGGCCATGTCTATGTGAACGCAGTGTATTAAAATAAATACTCCGTAATGTTTCTTTATGCAGTTTATGTTTTTTTTTATTATAAATATGTATGTAAATAAAAAATACAATAAATTTTTCCCATGATTGAAAGTGTTTTTGTGTCCCATAAGACCAAATTTAAGTTAGTTGTATCGTCTATTTCACGCTATCAGAACAGGTTGGATGTCTTTCAGATGTTTCAATTCATTAGATCAGATAGGTGACAATGGTAGGGTGTGTGACAATAAGCTCGTCATCGAGCAAGTTTCCAAGTCTCCAGGAAACTACAGGCAGCCAATGATAATCTATGTCACAGTCTTCAGATAGCGTTGTCCGTTTTGCGTTAGCCGTAAATACACCCCACATTCAGAATTTCAGCGTATTTATCGCAACATCCGCTCCGGATCAAAGTTTTCTTAATAGTACTAGTATAATACAGGTATCAGACTACTTAACTTGAAGCATTTTTAATTGGGAAAATCGGATTGGCTTCATTATCCTTATTTGAAATATAAGACAATCTTTCGGAACGTTTCGCAAAACGGGAGTATTGCAATAAAACAATAACACAAACAAAGCATTATTTACTAATTCTGATTTTATGCGCAAATGAATTCTTTGAGTTTTGTTTGGGTGGTACTTATATACAACGCGAGCAAATATAATTGGAATGTCTTCAACCGAAGACAGAATAGGTGTATCGACATTGGTGAGCTTAAGAAGTCGTGTTTTGTGCTTGTTCTTTGCTTTGTGAGTTCACCGTAAAGCTGTAGCTGCTTTATTAAGTTACTATAGAAACGATGAATACAGGGAAAAAACTCAAAGTCGGAATAACAATTATATTTGTTGGTGGTTAAYGGATGATCTCAACGGGCACCATTTAAAACTCCTTTATCATGCGTTATAGTACTATTTCAACTTTCCGCCTCGGTTATGAATAATAAATACTGATATAGAGCGTAATCTCAGCCTGAGCGCCTTTAGCGAAATGCATATTCTCCAGCTCCGTCGGGGAGCAGCTACTTATCAGCTCGCTGCTAAATTAAAGATAAAAAATATACTGTCACGTCCATTCTGAGTTGGCTTATTCAATTTCCATCTCCTATCCGTGGGGCGCAAGGCGCAGGCCGGGAGATATGTGGGACTAAGATGAAGACAGGCGTACACAGCAAATCCTCGCCGCATCTCCTGATCACGTTCTTAAAGGCCCGACTTGTGATCCGATTAACTCCACGGCGCCACCGTCGCAATCTCAGTAATGATAAAAATGGCAATAAAAATTAGGGATAATGGAGCTGCGGAGTGAGGGGTTGCGATTCCGGCCACGATGTCACCGAGATAACCGGGAATAAAATTAGGCGGAGATGATCGATTATAGAAACAAGGCTCGATTTGAATTTAAAATCATTTAACTATTGACTTTGGATAAAGCTTTTCGCGCTCTTAGAGAGCTTATCCTTCGTAAGTGGAAAGTGCGGTTCTCATCGAATCCACTTACTTCTTGCGGGAAGGGCACTATAAGTTTCTTACCCCATTACCTCACTATTCCACACTTCCTTTAAATTTTCAAAACGAACCGAGACGACGACTACCAAATCGGATATAATAATATGTTGTTCCCTGCAACATACCTACRATTATATGCAACTGGAAACTGGGAATACTGCGACTTGGGCTGAGACCTCTACAATGGGGCGACGCTATTGAATCTGTTTAAATCACCGTGAACACCTTGGAGGTGCAAATTAATCCCGAATGCGGAACAAAAATATCACTGTTTAGACTTGAATGATTTCATGTAAATGAGGCGATGAAGTTACATCAACTGGATATTGAGGGGTGACATAGGACATAGGTTTTTCCTTTATTCATCGACGAGGTTACCTAAGTATGATGTGTTTGTTAATTGCAAACTCCCCTCTTTAGCTCGCGATCAAATGTCGATTTCCCAACGATGAGAGTGATAACCCATCCCACGGCAGCTTTATTAAATGAAATAAGACGAATGCGGCGTTATCAATGATGATTGCCAAACGGCTTTCATTTTTGAGAATTAATTTCCTGTCAGCATTCTTTAAAAAGGGGAGACAAGTACAGTGCATCTGAGCTAACCGCATATTGTTTGCTCCGTAGCTAATAAGAAAAACTCTAACTGCCGTTACGAAACGTAGGGATGCCTATCACAAGTATATCTGTGCCGAGAAATTTAATTAAAATTCAATCAGAACGTAACGCGCTGGCATTTATCAGAGTGTTATCTCATTGGAGCTCTGCCTAAGAAAACATTTTAAAATAGTGAATTGTCAGTATCTGTACTGCCGCCGATAAAATTATGTGTCTTAAATGGAGCAAGTAAAGTATGTTTATGAGATAAAACTGCTCCTTTTGGACATTTAGTCGTTGATGTCGCGCGAATATTAGGCGCTTTCATAATTGTCACATTTTATAACCTTAATTTCCTAGCCATTGATAAGGACCATTTCAAATCACTTTGTAACCAGCCACCTGCCCGAACCTTCAGACGGATTAATATTTTCCGGAAAATCTAAAAAAACTCATTAGATCCAAGTCGAAATAAAAAAAAACGCAAATAAGGATTATTCGCCACATTTTTACATACCTAGGATAAAATTACTTAGAAAACACTAAAACAATCAAAAGACCGATATTTCTAAAAATATTTTTCAAATTTTGTTTTGTATTAAATTAATCAAAACTGAGTTTTAGTAAAATTGATAATTAAATTTGTCGATATAAGCAATGTGAATGATTTTTTAAGTTGAAGTTTCACCATTTCTGAAAATAAAAAAAAATAAATCACTTTGATTAAGACTTTAATTTTAATAATTAATTTATCGAGATATTTCTCTCCTAGTGGTCAATAAACTTTTTCATTATGAACCAAGGGCTATAATGTATTAAAGGTGGGTAAATACCGATGTTGGGGGGGTAAATATTTCTAGAATATTATTATTGAAAACTATTACCATCACAAGTACTAACGGGAGAATATTTTGAGATAAAATCGAATAAAAAAGATTAATTCTGTCTATGTCAAAACAACAATTTTCCGAAATAATTGCGTTTCTACCTGAAAAACGTGCTAAAATGCTCGAAAATGCTTAAATTTAATATAATTCTATACTTAATTTCTTGATTTTTTAGTGAAAAACCTGCGATTTTAGTATAAAAACGCACTTAAAAGCCTTTTTTGTCTTATTTTGCTCATAAACCAGTTAAATCGAGTGAAACAACATCAATTGTTTTTGTGATTTTTAAGTGTGTGAGCCTCTGGTTCAAAAACGAAGTAATTCGAGCTAAACAAGCTAAAGATAATATCAATTTCGATTTAATTTTGTAATTTTTTTGGTTGCTTCAACAAAATTTTTAGAATTTTTTTGTTTTTATCTCAAAAACGTGCTTAAACACTTGAAAAAGGCAAAAATAACGAAGTTTTTGGTCAAATTTGTTGAATTATTGTATTGTTTTTAACGAAATTTTGCCAAATAATTCTGTTTCCAGCTAAAAGGTAAAAATAAATTGTCATTTTTATCCTGTTTAAAAAAAACAAACAAAACAATTTTCAACTAATTTGGTGGTTTTTTGACTTTTTGAAAAAAATTGACAAAATAATCAAGTTTCTGCTTGAAAACGTGGGAAATACTGAAAAACAGTTTTTTTTTCATTTTCAAAAAATTAGCAGATATTAGAATTTTTACAAAAGTTTTTACCAGATTAACATGAAAATCACCAGATGTGGTGAAATTTCACCAAACCTGGCTAAAATGCTCAAGAAATGATAAAATATAATGTAATTCTAGACTTAATTGCTTGATTTTTTAGTTTGTTTTAGCGAAATCTAGTAAAAAACCTGAGATTTTAGTACAAAAACGCATTTAAAAGCCTTTTCGGACAAATTTTGTTGTCTTATTTTGCTCAAAAACCAGTGAAATCGAGTGAAACAAAATAACATCAATATCAATAGTTTTTGTGATTTTGAAGCTCTGGTTCAAAAACGACGTAAATCGAGCGGAACAAGCTAAAGATAATATCAATTTCAATTTAATTTTGTAATTTTTTTGCCTGCTTCTACAAAATTTTTAGAATTTCTTTTATTTTTATCTCAAAAACGTGCTTAAACTCTTGAAAAAGGCAAAAATAACGAAGTTTATGGTTGAATTTTTGGATTGTTTTTAACGAAATTTTTGAATTTCGAAAAAGATAAAAATAAATTGTCATTTTCGATCCTGTTTAGAAATGTCTTCTAAAAAAACAAACAAAACTATTTTCAACTAATTTGGTGGTTTTTTGACTTTTTTGAAAAAAATTAACGAAGTAATCAAGTTTCTGGTTGAAAACGTGGAAAATACTAGAAAAACAAAAAAATACCAGATATTAGAATTTTTACAAAAGTTTTTACCAGATAACATGAAAATCATCAGATCTGGTGAAATTTTACCAAACCTGGCAACATTGGTAGTGAGGCAAATTTTAACACTTTCATATTACAAACTTAGAAAATTCCTTTAATAGTTGCAGAAGTACAAAACTGACATCACCTCATTTACGATAAGAAGAATTGAAGTTAATAACTCAGGTAAGTAATTAATTACAGTAGGTAATAGTGAGGCAACATGTCCATTAAGTAAGTTTGTTTTTTCACCGTTGTATTTCTGGGTAAAAAATATGCTAGTAGTGAAAAAAATATGATATCAAACACGGTCGAGAAGATTTTTATAGCCTTGCATTTATTATTTCCCTTGATGCTACATGAAAAATCTCTTCTCTACCTTGTATGTAACATAATATACTATTTGTATTCTTATTTAAATTGACAAAAGATAACGGAAATGATGGTAATGGACTCGTAAATGATGAGCCTAAAATCTTTACCATTTATTTTTATTTCAATTTTCAGTTTTAAATTACCACAAACTGCATTCTATGTTGTTTAGTCTTCGATGTTTTCTTATTTTCTTCTTGTTTTTGTGTTTTTTTTTGTTACCTTTTCATTCATTTAAGAATAAAACTCCAGATGCATTTGGTTTTGCTTTTTTAAAGTTAATGGGATTGTGTTGTGAGCACAGAGGGAGGC